CATTTTGAAGTGAAAAAGCTTCCTGGATGGGAAGCGAAACGTCTTCAAGCTTTGAAAAAAAGGCCGGCGGATTGTTTCTTTAAACTCTTTTTGGAATGACCATGACCTGGATGACTGAGAGTCTTCACCTGCACTTTGAAGCCATACTTACGTTTTTGCCGACGTCATCTTTGGAGGAGACCAGGTCCTCCATCTCAGCTTTGAACATTTTGTTGGAGCGCTCCAGGTCCTCCTTCAGGGCCGTCATGGTCTCAAGCTCACGGGCCAGGTTGAGCGCACGCGTCTCCTTCTCCCGGGCTTCAGCCTCTGCTTTGTCACGTTCCTCAGCATACTGAGTGGAAATCGCCTTCTCCTCTGCCAGCATCTAAGAAAGTAAAGAAGATCAACCAAACATGGTTAGGCTTTTATCGAAACCCAAGCAGACAAAGTCTAAAGTCCTTCAGCAGACTACCTGATCAAACTTCTTCTGCTTCCTCTCCAGGTTGGAGACGATCTGCCTCAGATTGTCCTGGTCCACCAGCATATCATCCAGCTCCTGCTGCACACGGGTTTTTGTCTTGTCCAGCTTGTCGTAGGCGGCGCTCTTCTCCTCCAGTTGCAGCATCAGTTCGTCCATCTCCCTCTGCAGCTTCTTGCGGCCCTCCTCTGCGCCCTCCAGCGATATGGCCTCTTGTTCCGCCTTCTTCTTCATCTCTGCCAGCTGAAGGATTTTGAAAAAATGTTAACATTAAGGCCCTGGTTTGTCTCTAGGGGTGGGTATTGCCAAAGAAGTCACGATTCGATTCGAATCACGATTCACAAGCCACAATGCGATTCTATCACGATGCATCACGATACTTGAATTATTGCGATGCATTGCGATACCTTCACTGAACACTGTTAGAAAAAAATACAGCCATTACTAGTGGCTGACTGGCTGAGTATGATCTGGGTAGTTTCTTCCAATTGGTTTTGTTTTTAAAACCAAAATGCTTCCAAACATCGCATTTGAAATATGATGGAGCTGGACGAAGTTTCTCAGTCTCCTCCATGTTTTGTTTTTGAATGACTCGGCGCAGTATCCCATGGCCGGAAATGGTTGTGACACAAGGCAGCGTGCGTCAACACATCCGCAGCAACATCTGCTGGACTGGAAGTTGTATTACACTTGTTTTTGGCTGATGTTCGCCAACCATTCATGCAATGTTATTTATAAATTTTTTTTTCAAATTAATAATCGATACTTGGCGTCAAGAATCGATGCAGTAGATCATGAAAATTAGAATCACGATGCATCATCATGACGATTATTTTGCACACCCCTAATACTGATTTAAGTGAGCAGCTGAGGTGACAGAGCTCCATAGCGATATTGG